CTTCGGCGATACCCGCCCCTCCGACACATGGGTTATTGGAGGAACACCGGGTTGGTTTTTAGTCAGTAAGAGTCTGACAGTATCTTCGCCCTTACCCGAGGGCGGTGGGTCTCCATGAGGATTTTCCAACCCGAAATCAAAAAAAAAAAAAAAAAAAAAACCTGGTGGTAAGCAATCATGGACACTCGTAATACCAAAGGAGTTACTACAAGTGCTTTGCCAGCCTCTTGTAATAATAACCCATTAGGGATGGGGGAGGGGAAGAATTGGGCCTCCAGTAACCTCACTCACACGGCGAAACACAACGCTGTAGTTGTTTCACGCTGGTATTCTGTGAGGCCGTGGTATCACTCCGGTCGAGCCGACCCATTCATGTCGAAGCATGGCTTTATCTCACACCTAAAACTTAGGCCTCTGCCTTGAAACTCGCGGGCAGCGGCGCGGGAGCGGCAGGGTTTTACGCGTATAATCAGATGGACCGGCCCTCGAATACAGCGGGACGGGCGCGGGCAGCGAGCGGTGTACGTCCGAACCACAATAAATCGAGCGTTAGGAATAAATTTGAATCAAAAAGATGTTGCCGCCATTTTTCAGACATTTCGTTCGCTAATAAAAACAAATATGTCGACGACACAATTAACAACAACACTAAGCTGTTACAATGACGCGCGATCCGCCCGCTGGATTCGAGAACGGGTCTGCGATGCTCGCTCCGCTTCCGCGCCGCCGCCGCTTTCGCCCCGCTGCCCGCGAGATTCGTGACGGCGGCCTTACTGAACCAATGCTTATATTCGTCTGCGTGCCAAATAACTACCTACATAAAATAGATCAGTACCCGCGGGAACTCGGCGAGTAAGGGCAGCTCCGAATCAGGCCCGAGCGTATGGCGCGTAGCGTTCCGCGAGCGCCTCAAAGAGCCAATAGACCACCACAGACAGGCCCTAAAGGGCTGATGTTCAGCCGGGGTGGCGGGGTAAGCGCAATGAGGCACCGCAACCTCGGCCCAGAGCAGGAGAAGGAACAGGGGGGGTTTTTAGTCAGTAAGAGTCTGACACTCCCTCCCGCCCGGCCCTGGGCCCTGAGAAGTCATTTGATGATTTTCCCCTCACAAAAAAAAACCCGCGGGAACTGGTGAAATATGTTCTTGTATCACCACATAGTTTTGACAGACAGACAGACAGTTTAACTGACTATTTTCAATCTAACGTGAGTCGAAGTCGAAGGAAAACCTATCGTGATGCAATTTCCTGCATTAATGTTGCAATAGACGAATGCATAATATAAAATATATATATTTATACATTAGCATATATATAGATGGCTTCAACAAGGAGGAAAACTACCATTAATGCAATATCTATTGGCTATTCGTGACTGAGATCGGGCTACTAGGCTTTTTGTATATTTCGTTTCAACGAGAACCTTTTTGAATGTTAATCCATCAAACCCCAAGCGAACGGCGGCGTTCGCGCAACTATTATCTTACTCTCTGTCTGTATGTCTCGAATAACTAAGTTTTTTTTAATTATCTAAACTATCTGTTCAACTCTGTCTGTAACTCTGTCTGTCTTTTCTTCACGCCTAAACTACTCAACCGATTTATGTGAAATTAGGTACAGACATAGTTTGGAACTCGAGAAAGGACATAGGATAGTTTTTAAGCCAAAAATCTGCAGGAAGTCACTATTCCAAGCGAACGGAGTCGCGTCGTAACAATGAATACATTTTTGTCATAAATCGGCACTTTTACATGTCAAATTATAATAATATTAGCTAGGCTCGCGCGGTTTCACCCACTGCTCGGCTCCATTTAATCGTAGCGTGATGTTTTATAGTCTATAGCACCCAACATTGTAGCATGAATTTGAATGTGAATTTTTGTTGTGCCCGACAGGGTCCATGTGAACTATTTATAAGTACTACCACCTAAGAATACATGTGGAAAGCAATAAGTATTGAGTATTGAGTATAGCTATCCATCAGTGAAAGAATTTTGGAAATCCGACCAGCGCTTCCAAAGATTACCCCCTACATACAAACTTACTACATACTTACAAATTATACCTCTTTATAATATTAGTATAAATATAGAAAAATAGTATAGAAAAATCTAGATGAAGGCGGCATTTCCTATCTGACTACTCTGAGAAGAAATGGCGAAACAAACTCAGAGGTCAGAAAGTAACACCCGGTTTCTGAAAGGCTTGTCAACTAATCTTCTGTTAAATCTCTTGTCAAGTCATTTGATTGGTTGTTGATAATTCAGTCAACCAATCACATGACTTGACAAGAGATTAAATTGATTTTAACATTGATCGGCCTTTCAGAAACCGGGTGTAAGAGAATCAGGTAGTTTGAGATCTATGCGAAGCAGGGTCGGTCGGTGCTAATTTCTTTATAAAACTTAGCACTGAAGTTATCCAAGTTTACGTGGGCGATAGTATTATACTTTTACTGTGTGTGGGCGAACACCCACATACTGACATTTCCACTAAGTTTATTGATATTTGATATAGCCAATACGATAATAGCTACTAATATCATAACAGACTAGTCTGCAAACAGGGGTGCCCACTGACTGACTGGGCGACTTGTATGCCTAGCTTACACTGAGTGGGTCTGTTTCGGATCCAGCAGGAGGAAACGAGTGTCGTCATTGCGAGGACCACCTAAAGGATACCCTAGCACACCTGGGCTGAGCACCGCCGTGTCCTCAGGGAAGCGCCTCAGAGCCAATAGACCACCACAGACGGGGCCCTATAGGGCTGATGTTCAGCCGAGGTTGCGGGGTAAGCGCAATGAGGCACCGCGACCTCGGCCCAGAGCAGGAGAAGGAACAGGGGGGTTTTTACTAAAAACCCCCCTGTTCCTTCTCCGACCGGAGTGTCACGACTCTTACTGACTAAAAACTTTTTAGTCAGTAAGAGTCGTGACACTCCCTGACTTCTACCCAGTTCTAACATTGCGACAAGTTCGGGACAGTCGATAGAGCCATTAGCGATATTTATTAAAAAACAGACAGCGGCAATCCGACGTCTGTGCTCAAGTGGCAGAAAATGGTATCTTTTACATCGGTTTTATAAACCTACATAGCTTGTTTCAACGCATTAATTCATGAAACTCCAAGCAAACACATTAACACGCCTTTTGTTCTTCTATAATGTCTTAAATTACAGTGATTCAAACCAGAATTATGGATGCAAATCGAACAAATATTTTCATGCTCAATCAGGTGATGGTTCTTAAGATGTTTTAGGGCAGATTTTTCAATAGTCAGATAAATGTTATCTGAAGAATATAACAGTTGCTGTCACTGTTTTATACAAACATTCTGACGCGACAGCATCATAATTATTCCTCGGGTAACTTTTATCTAACAATTGAAAAATCTGCCCTTAAACATCTTTTTCAGATGGCTTACAGCAAATAGCTTCACTAAGAGGACTGACCGACAGACTGACTTTGTTTTGTTGTGATGTTCAAAAGTACCCGTAAGGGTCTAATTGAAATAAATGATTTTTGATTTTAAGTTTAGATTATGATGATGATGATGAAAAATACTTAAGTTATTCGACTTTGGTATCACCATCATCAGCCTATAAATGCTCACACCGAACCATCGAAAAATCAGCCCTTTGCTTATAAAAGTAAAGTAAAATCGAATACAGCATACATAGCGGTAATATAATATGGCAGTTCACTAACAAACAAATAACTGACGCAGAAGTAGCTGGGCATCTGTGTAAAAGAGAGACAGGCCACTAGATAAACATAAAAATGGGTAACAATGTGGTTTGTGTCCATGTAATATAATCTACACTTTGGAAAGAGCACCTACTGACTGATGGACTATCCTGTTTTTAAGCTGGAATGTTGCATGAGTTCTATAAAACATGGTAATTTGTTTAAAAGTTGGACAAGAGATAAGAGTGGACTTCATTTTTCAATTATTTCTAATATTGAACTATGTCTCTATCTATTTAACAATGAATATTGCAATTTGGATTCTCAAATTCCAATCTATCTATAAAGTATTTTACAATAATAATAACATAACTAAACTATATATATATTATGTTTATAAACATTTGTGAGTGACCTCATCATCTATTATTAGCCATTATGAGTAAATTTAAAGCATAATTCTAACTAAGCTAGTACCTAAGTATTAAGGAAATAATTTTGTGAATTTTTCAACTAATATGTTTGAAAGGTAAAAAAAAAACAATAAAAGTATATGATATTATATGATAAGATGTAATCTTTAAGCAATAAAATGCTATATATTTATTATTTGATATGGTAGAAAAGCCATCTACAATTTTCTTTGGCAAAATAAAAAAAGAAGCCATTTTTAAAATAAAATACACATGGACAATAATCCAAGTTTTATATTCTATGTTGGTATGGGGCAAAGGCAGCATTCCATTATGCCTATACTAAACCTACATGCTATTTGGTTATAAAATATCTGTGAATTGTAAATCTAGCACCATGGGTATTATAAATAATTTACAACATGGCTATTGCCATGAATATGTTAATATCAAAATTCACAGGAACATTCTGTATACCACTTTCATTGGTTAATAAGTGGAAAAGTTTTAAATAAATACTTCAGAAATAACAAAGAAGCGCAGATGAATAAAAAAATATATAACTTATTGTTCTCATCATGAAGACCACAGATTATATATTACTAAGTTATTTGCAGCATAACAAAGTCATGATTGTGCCAAGTACCTACACCTACCTACATCCTATAACATACAAGTGCTTAGTCATCAACAATTTTAAAAAACAGTTTATTTAACAAACAAACCAAATAGTTGTTAGGACTTTTTGGATACCGTTACACAAACATCGCTGACCTACAATTAAAAAACATTGACAAAAAAAAATAACAAAATTTTAAGGTTATGGTGATGAAGCAACTATTGTGATATTGCGTTTTTATGATAAAAATACAAAGTAAATATGTAAACAATGATGTTATTTACCTGAAAGTCTTGATTTTGTGCATGGCAGCGTGTTGCGGCCGAATTATTTTTGATTTAGTACGGGCATAAACTGACAGCCTGTGGTGACATGACAGACAAGAAATTTTTTGACGTTTCAAACGTGATCCGATGCGGCAGATGCTGGGTGGTCAGGTAATTGGATTTTACACTTCTTATGGGAAAGTTACACTTTGATAAAAGTAAGTTTTTTTAATTAATATTTAAAAACAATATTTTTCTGTTTATGGCTCTTTATTAATATCCAAAAAATATTAGTGTCCTATGAACTTTGTGCAAATCTGAAAAAAAAAAATTAGCAAATAATCTTATTTAATCAGTAGCTTTTTTAAATTAGGAATCAGTAGAGTATCCAGAGTGCGCTAGTTTATTAAATATGTGTCTGAGCCTAAGTGTTGCACTAATGCAATCGATTCCTGCCATGATTCGACTCGAATGGATCGGCTCAAGCAGCGTGATACCACAACCTCACAGAAAACCAGCATAAATCAACCATAGCGTTTCAGTGAAGTTGCTTAAGACTCAATCCTCCCCCCTTCCCATTCCCAACCATTAAAGATTGATTGGGATTGGGAAGCCCCAAATCCTTAATCCTCAAATATTCAACACCCATACTTGTAACTCCTCTGGTGTTGGGGGCGTCCATTGGCATGGCATAGATATGCCACAGAATAATTATGAACTATTTTAGGGTTTTCGTTTAGTTTCATTAGTAACTTACCACTATTTTCTGATAAATGGCCAAAACTGAATCATAAAACACTAAGGCCTGATTTTTCAATAGTCAGGTAATTGTTATCTGAGGAATAAAATTGTTGCTGCCACTGTCTTATACAAACATTCTGACGCAAAAGCATCATAATTATTCCCCAGGTAACCTTTATCTAACCATTTAAAAATCTGCCCTAGGTAACAATTAAAAAAACACACAAACCTAACCTCTTTCAATATTACCCGCCGTAAAAACGAAATCTCCCCACGGTTTTCCAGCACAGATTATAATCACTGCGTCACTTTTAGCTACGTGTAATGAATTATAGCAAATAATGTGAAAATTAATCCTAATAATCTGTTTACGTCATTTTAATTAACCATATTATTTGTTATAAATGTCCTTGTTGAATGTTTTATTTACTTATGACTCATTTTTATAACACTTGCAACTTAAATATTGTATTTTTGTATTGTTTATTTTGATTTTTAATAAGTCGGTAACAAATTATTAGCCACGCTACGACGCGACGAGGCGACGGCGACGCTACAAATATGGTTTTCAATAATATAATTATTGTTATTATAGATTGACATTTCGTATAATACCTGTGTTGTTTTTAATGTTAAGATCTTGTTTTTATCAATTAGATGGTCCCTAATCGTTTTTTAATTGACGTGTCAATGATACCTATACTAGTTAGATAAAGAGAAATATCTTAATAATATAATACAAATTACAAAGGTAAGCCTGGTTTAAATCAAAGTTTAAATAGTAATGCAGTCACAAATTCAAAGTTTGTTACGACTCGTTGATAATTTTACGATAAAAATAGGTACTGTAATATTCTTCTTATACCGTTTATTATGAATTAAAGTCCTGAATCTTTGTTTAGTTGAGTATTAATAAACGTAGTGGTTACATCCTCTTTGGAGTATTATGTGTTATGTTTAAGACTTTTGATTAAAAAACACTGCCCACCCATAGACACCCGCAGTACCAAAGAATGAGGAGATGGGAAATGGCAAAAGGATGGGGAGTTGGGGAAGGCTCGGGCCTCGGGTAACCTCTCTCAAACGGCAAAACACAAAGCTGTAGTTGTTTCACGCCGCCGGTATTCTGTGAGGCCGTGGTATTACTCCGGTCGAGCCGAATCAAGCTTGCCTCTCCCACACTTCACTTTTTATTTAAGTAGGTAGGTAATAATAGGTAACTATTTGCAGTATTTTGCTTCAATCCAAGTTAATAATCTGTTAATAACCTGTTCAATAATATGACTGGCTGGGTGACTTCAGCCGATCTGTCTCCGATGCGTCTTGTAATTTGGCGTTACTGATACAGTTATGATGGATACCATATTTATACCATTATATTTTAAAGATTGGGAAACTGGTATCGTCACTCACTCGGCGAAACACAGTTTTTGTAAGGCCGTGATATTACGCTGGTGGAGAGCCGACCCATTCGTTTTTGGTTGGCTTGGATCTGTCACACTTGTGAGTCAAGGTAAGCTATCAACTATCAAACTCAAAATTGCCACTTTCAGTCTCTGTTCCACTCTAATAAAATTTTTGGACCTTGGCTCATCATTAACTACCGTGTTTTATCGGTTCAGCAGAGTCCTTCATGTAAACTTGAAAGTTGAACTTAAGATAGGTAAGTTTCTGTCCGCGCCTGCGCGAAGAGACAGGGGTAGTAATTAATAAATTCTATTTTACCGTCACTCCTCAAAGAGCCAATAGACCACCACAGACGGGGCCTTATAGGGCTAATGTTCAGCCGCGGTTGCGGGGTAAGCGCAATGAGGCACCGCGACCTCGGCCCAGAGCAGGAGAAGGAACAGTGGGGTTTTTAGTCAGTAAGAGTCTGACACTCCCTCCCGCCCGGCCGTGGGCGGGAGAAGTCATTTGATGATTTTCCCCTCACAAAAAAGACCCTCACTACATAGTAACTTTACGATACGAAATGATAACAAAGGCGTATTTTTAGACTTTACAACTAGACTAGATAAACAATGCGCTGATGTACACACGGCCATGTAAACCAGTATAAAATGACTTGTTTATGTGGGGACCGATCATACAAGTACAGACCATGACACGCTGGATTTTGTATTTTGGTCTGCAACTCTGCAGCCATTTTGCCTATCTTATTATTATCTGTTATCTGTAAAATTGTTTTTTGATAATACAAATTAAATGTTTTTACAAGATAGGTACCTAAGTTTATTATGTATATTTTACTTTATTTTTAGACTTCCTATTTGTATGGAGATTACGGTATTATAAAAAAAGTCTGAAGCGTTATTTTGTATGCAGCTATGAAAATAACGGGCACGCTGGCTGTTATAGCAGTGGTAAGACCGCTTTGAGAAGGGGCTTGAGAGACGCCACGGCGTCTTCACCTTTCGCCTGACGCCAGTGCTTACCGGGCATGGCAGTGTCGGTAGATTCCTGTTTCGGATCCGGCGGGAGGAAACGCCTGAATGTCGTCATTGTAAAGACCACCCAGAGGACACGTTGGAGCATACGGTGGTGATGTGCCCTGCTTAGGCTGAACACCACCACGTCCTGAGGGAAGTAATCGGTGGGCGACCTCTCGCGCCCGGCCTTAGTCGAGGCCATGGTGCGTAGCGAGAGGAACTGGGAAGCCATCTCCTCTTTCTGTGAACCAGTTATGCTCGCAAAGAATTAGGCGGGCCGCGTGAGGGAGCTATCCTCCTCCTCGTGCCCCTGCCGTCACAAATAGGTGACACTCCGGGCGTTGGGGATCGGGCGATGATCTCCGGCCATTGGGGGCCCTGTTGGGCTGATGTATGGCCAGGGCTGCGGGGCAAGCGCAATGAGACACCATTTGATGATTTTCATCCATTAAGAAAAACGCACCTATTGTATCTCGATTAACCGTGATTGAAATGTTGTAATGATAAAAATGTGTTTATAATAATAAGATCAATGAAGTCAGCACTTATAGTTACAGGTTTGCTTTTCTTCTAATAAATAACTGTACTTACAGACTGAGCTGTCTCTTCCATTACTAAAATATAAGCCTACATAACTTTTATTTTGAATGCAACCTTTGTTTATGATATATCTTGATCAAAGCTTGCTTGCATGGTTTAGTTACGTAGAATTAATTAATATTTTCCTTTTTAAAAACAATTATTACAAATGATTACTCGTATGATAATATCGACTAAATGTTAAACTAACATTTAACCTTTCTAAACACATCACTATACGTAAAAAAAACGAACGTCAATTATAATCCGTCAAATTTGCTTGTTTTCGATTTGATTATTTTCGTCAATCACGATCCTAATCGCGAAAAATCTAAAATGTATTTTTTAAAAATTGTGTAACAAATACTTGTTGAATTGACATTGAAACCGTAAAAATGTCTAGCGACGAGCTCCACGAGGAGATAGTAGAAATCGTAGAGGACGACAGTTTCAATTTTATTGCTGAAGATTCGGATTTAACATGTACAATTTGTCAAGCTGAATTTTTGGACCCTGAAGATCTTAATATACACATAGATCAGGTCCACAAGGTAAAAGGGACGAAGAAATGTTATTTTTGCCCCGAAAAGTATACAGATTTAATGGATTTCGCTGAACATTTTCGAGATAAACATCTTGCAAATTTGTTCTACTGCTTGTATTGTTTACGGTCATTTAAAGACGAAAAGGAGTATAAATTGCACGATAAGAAACATAAACGTGGTACTAAGTCGACGTACTGGTGCGCTATGTGCAGTGAGAAGTATGGGAGCCTCTGGGATTTGCGCAAACATGATTTGATCTATCATGAAGATAATAACGAGGGTTACTTGATTCAAAACCTGCTTCCGTACTTGTCAGCAGTATTAAAAGTTAAAGCAGTAACCGCGTTACTCTCTCAACATAAGCCAACCGTGCACACTTGTATGTGTTGCCATTATACGACAACGGAATTAGAAGATATAATAACACATTCACGGAATAAGAAATGTAAATGCTACGTCTGCTACATGTGTACAAATGTCTTTAAAGATAAATCTTCTTTGCAAATGCATTTGGAGAAAGTTTGCGAAAAGAGGAAACCGTACGGAAGGGTTGAATGCCCAGATTGTAAGGTTATCTACAATTCCTTAGTTTACTCCAAGCATAAGAAAGTTTGTAAGATCATCAAGTGTTCTACTTGTGGTACGCAATATCCTTCAATGTACGAGCTGTCCGAACACCAATCTAAAGACCATCCGTTGTCCGCAGAATTAGCAACTTGTAAGTTTTGCTGGAAACATTGTGTTGGGACAGTTGCGTTAGAGAAACATATGGAGAGAGCACATAAACCTTACTTGCATTTGTATAAGTATTTGTGCATCTACTGTAAGACACCTTTTAAGCATCCGCAGAAGTTGTTTGCGCATTATTTTACTACGCACAGAGATTTAGAGCCTTACACTTGTACGATTTGTTCGAAAACATTCAGAATACGAAAGCGATTTACTGTTCATATTAAACTTCAACACAAAAGCGTTGGTTTTGTTGAGTTTGATGAGAACTACCATGTTTTTTTTACTGAGAAGAAGTCAGAAAAACCTTTTATACCTAAAAGTCTGTATGGGGATGAGAATGAGAAACAGACTGTGGTAGAAAACACTGAGGATACGGACTTGACTCTATTGAACATGAATTCGGAAATAAGTATATCGGAAACTGAAGGCAATCAAACTGAAACTGGCTTATTAGTGCCCAGAAAACGTAAAAAAGGAACTCCCAAAGGTCGAAAAAAGGCCCAGGGTACTGTAACTACATTATCATCGGACGATGAACCTCAAGAAGTTTCAAAAAAGAAAACCAAATCTTCCCGGAATACTATGACTACTAGTTGGAAGAAAAAACAGCAAGCGATAAATAAAAAGCGCTTTACTTGCACAATCTGTAATAAGTACTGCTATACATACCAAAATTACAACCACCACATAAGTCTTCATTCGAAAAATGAATACAAAAAGTGTATAAAGTGCTCCAAAGTGTTCCGGAGCAAGGAAAAGTTGAACAGACATATGAATAATGAACACTCATCTTCTAAATTAACTGATACCCTTAAAACTATGTTGGAGAAAAGGAAAAAGGGTGAGACTATGTCCGACAGCTTACCGATGTCAGAAAAATTCAGACGGACCATTAAAAAGGTTGAATGCCAAGACACAGGACCTGTAGCTAACATCAAACAAGTTGAAGACGGCCTTTCAGTGCAAAAGTTTATTGAGAATTTCATGCCTGAAACAGAAAACAGATCTGAAAGCCCTATAGATAACACTGTTATAGTTAAAATGGTTAGTGGAATTGAAAAGGAACCGGTAATAAAAATGACCAAATTTAATTTCAAACCGCTGTCAGAAGCCACGAAGTTAGCTATGCCAGTAAAATTCAAATCCAACCAATTTGAAAGGACTTTAGCTACCGTACGTTTAGTACAAGCTGTTTCGATGTACCAAGAAGACAATCAGGACCACGACAGCCAGTCGTACAACGAAGAAATTGACAGGAATGATTCAATACCAGAAGTTGCAGAGGAAGTAATGCTTGAAGGAACTGAAGAGACGCCAAATTCATCACAGATACCGCATAAAATTGTCATACCTAAACTCCCAACGATGTATAAGGACCTAAAGATTGCTCATTTACACCCTCAAGCACCATATTATAAGATAGTGCCAGTAAAGGATGTTTTGAAAGCAACGGAGAAGGCCGATGTTAAAAAGGATACAAGCAAGAATACTATAAAATTGCCCGACGGGACAAAATTGATAACGACGAATCCATTAGCCCATTTAATAGACAATAAGGAGATTGAAAAAGTTATGGAACCCATGAAGAATAGGTATTACAAATATAAAGAGAGGGATTTGCCCAAAATGTTAGTGGAAGCTTTAAGTAATTTGGACAAACCGTTGGTGCGAAAGAAGAAGGTAATCGGTGATAATTATTCTGAAGCTAGCAACTAAAGAGCTAAAGTTAGTAACTTTATTACGAGATAAAGCGGCATACGTGTGGAAGAGCTAAGCTTCGGCTCGATCGGATTGATACCACGGCCTCACAGAAAACCGGCGTGAAACAACCACAGCGCTGTGTTTCGCCATGTGAGTAAGGTTAGGAAAACCTTATTCCTAAAAGGCCGGCAACGCACTCGTCACTTCTTTGGTGTCCATTGGCGGTGCTGATTGATTACCACCAGGTAATCCGTCTTCTCGATGACCGACCTATATGTAGCATACAAAATATGAGCTGATAGATGGTCCATGGATTTCCGTTGAGGAGTTAACTCAGCGGGAGTCTAGGGTGCATGGTTGGCCTCTTATAGGTCGTCGCGTCGATCTGGGAGTAGAGAGCAGTTAAAAATAAATAGATTTTGTACATAATGTAGGCATTGTTTTGTTTTCTATACAAATTATGTTATTTGAAGTTTAAGTATTGGTCGCAAGTTTATGAAATTTTTTTTAAGTAGGTAATTCCCATAAGCGGGAAACAGCTGGCAACTCTGCTACTGTCATTCATTCTTGATCCTGTGTAGAAAAATAGGAGACAGGTAGTTGTTATTTTTCAAATAATTTTTATTGTTTTCGTTGTATAAAAATGTAATGTCTGTTATATGTACTGAACCAAATAGCATTTTAGCGATCGTTGACTAATTATGTCCGGACTTGACGCAAAGAACAATAATAAGCTTAGTAATGGAGACTGGTTCTTTATAATTAATTAAGCGTCAGCGGTAGCTGATCCAGCCGGGGTAGCGTGGTAAGCGCAATGTGGCACCGCGGCCACGGCCTAAAGCAAAAGAAACGGGGGTTTTTAGTCAATAAGAGTCTGACACTCTCTCTCGCCTTACCCTGGGGGGAGAAGTCATTCGAAGTGATGATTTTCCTGTAGTATATTTGATCAATATGAAAAAACTGAAGCATCAATATTACACCAAAGCGATGTATGAACTGAGCTAAATCAGTCCAAAGATGGAAGAACATCGTGACATTATATTTTTGTTCACTGCTTTCCGTTATGTAAATGCTATTTGGTTCACAACTCTGTATGAAATTGTTACTTTAAACCTAGTTATATGAATGGATAATGATTTATATATACTTTAAAATAAATGTACATTATATTATATACTTCATTGTTTTGTTTCTGTTATAAATAATTAGTAAGTTTTTTCATGTGGTAACTACGAGGGCAAACGATTTTTTTATTTTTATAGGTATTGAATGTTGCCTTGTAGAAGTGTTGTGTTATGGTTTTATTGAAAAAATAAATTCATTGTTTTATTGATGGTAAGCAATTTAAATGTGCGTTACCGGCCTTTTGGGGATAAGGTTTTAGGGATTGGGGAGGAAGGAGGGGGGATTTCACTAATATTTATTCAGAAAACAGATCTATCGATTTGAAAGGATCACAATGGATCATGAGCCACTGTGTGTAGGTACTTTTGATACGTTTTTGTAATTATTAAGCAGCATTTAACATTTATGATATTAGTTTGGATTTATTTTTATTACATGCTGAAGAAGATTACATACATTTATTTCTTATTTTAATTTAGATAATTTAGTTAGGACAATTGTGTTTTTAATATTTTATAGGATCCATTTATGGTTTTTGCTATTTCACGTGAATATTACTGAATGGATCCGAATGAAATTTGGCACAGAGATAGATTATAGTCTGGAATAACACACGGGGTACTGCTTACCTTGACGAAGCGAATAAAACCATTAGAAAATAATTGAAAATAATATTTATTTAATTGAAAACCACTTATATTTTAATGTCTTAACAATAAACTATTCAATTCTAAGTCTATGAGTCTGAACGATTATCGTTTGGCGTAAAAACATTACCCTTTTTGTAAAGTAGTCGGTTAAAGAGGTCACAATAACACTTTGACCGACCCGGGAGACCAGTCGATCATACTTAATCTGATCTGAATGTAATTTGGCACAGAGATAGATTATAAAAGCTAGAAAAGTGATCGTTTACCAAGATATTCGTTTAGACTCTTACAAAAGCATGTCCTATGTATTAAATAAACAATTACATCGACTGTACAACGTGGCCTAGCACTCACTTGTATGCCTACATCTATTTCAGACACCCTACACTAGCATTCAGCCGTGTGACCAGCGCAACTCTTCGCGCGGGTACCCTCACCGACTGACACGGAGACCGGCCAGCAGCGCTCTCTGATAGACCTGAACCTTTTAAACTGCGATATCCACCCCCCAACTGGGGATTGTACCGAACAGTGGACTGAAGATGATGTTTCTTTTATAGGTTAAGCAGAATGATGGTAAGCAATCGCCACCATAAGAGTTACAAGTGATAGAGATAAGGGGATTGGAGATTTGGGGATTGGGGATTGGGGTAAGTGGGGGAGGAGATGAGAACGCAACGGCTGCCCGCCTCGTGTCGTGGGACAGTATCCTGGATGCTTCGTATAGATTGTATTTTAGCAATTCGGGATTGAATCAGCTCGCCGCAGCCGGCGGACTGGGCAAGTTTCCACACGAGTCGAAAAGGAATATTTGAATAGTTAATGTTAGGTAATAGAGAAATAAAATGATTAGCAATAGTGAGTGCAGACCTTGCGTACGGCGGCGTGCGTGGTATCAGGGGGCAGTTTGAGCGCGCGCAGGAGCGCGGCCAGGTGCGCGGGGGGCTCCCCGGCCACCAGGGTGCACTGCACCAGCCGGCCGCCCATCTCGCGGGGGCGGTACTACGTTACAGTACAGGATGCACTCACTATTTGGGAAAGGGACACACATTTCTGTCTTACTGGACTCTATTTATTTCTTATACAATGGCTCACTGTCTATCGGGACCGTTGTTTACATTCAATATTTTACCGGCTTATATAGCGGGGCAAGCTCAATGTGGCACCGCGGCCACGGCCTAAAGCAAAAGAAACGGTCTGACACTCTCTCTCGCCTTACCCTGGGCGGGAGAAGTCATTCGAAGTGATCATTTTCCTGTAGTATATTCGATCAATATGAAAAAATTGAAGCATCCATATTACACCAAAGCGATGTATGAACTATGCTAAATCAGTCCAAAGATGGAAGAATATCGTGTCATTATATTTTTATTGTATTTTTGTTCACTGCTTTCTGTTATGTAAATGCTATTTGGTTCACAACTCTGTATGAAATTGTTATTTTAAACCTAGTTATATGAATGGATAATGTTTTATATAGACTTTAAAATAAATGTACATTATATTATATACTTCATTGTTTTGTTTCTGTTATACATAATTTACTCATATTTTTCATGTGGTAGCTACGAGGGCAAACGATTTTTTTTATTTTAATATTGAATGTTGCCTTGTAGAAGTGTTGTGTTATGGTCCTTTTGCAAAAATAAATTCATTGTTTCATTGATGGTAAACAATTTAAATGTGCGTTGCCGGCCTTTTGGGGATAAGGCTTTAGGGATTGGGGAGGAAGGAGGGGGGATTTCACTAATATTTATTCAGAAAACAAAGATCTATCGATTTGAAAGGATCACAATGGATCATGAGCCACTGTGTAGGTAGGTACTTTTGATACGTTTTTGTAATTATTAAGCAGCATTTAACACTTATGATATTAATTTGGATTTCTTTTTATTACATGCTGAACAAGATTACATACATTTATTTCTTATTTAATATTTTAATTTAGATAATTTATTTAGGACAATTGTGTTTTTAATGTTTTATAGGATCCATATATGTTTTTTTGCAATTTCATGTAAATATTACTGAATGGATCCGAATGAAATTCGGCACAGAGATAGATTATAGTCTGGAATAACACACGGGGTACTGCTTACCATGACAAAGCGAATAAAACCATTAGAAAATAATTGAAAATAATATTTATTTAATTGAAAACCACTTATATTTTAATGTCTTAACAATAAACTATTCAATTCTAAGTCTATGAGTCTGAACGATTATCGTTTGGCGTAAAAACATTACCCTTTTTGTAAAGTAGTCGGTTAAAGAGGTCACAATAACACTTTGACCGACCCGGGAGACCAGTCGATCATACTTAATCTGATCTGAATGTAATTTGGCACAGAGATAGATTATAAAAGCTAGAAAAGTGATCGTTTACCAAGATATTCGTTTAGACTCTTACAAAAGCATGTCCTATGTATTAAATAAACAATTACATCGACTGTACAACGTGGCCTAGCACTCACTTGTATGCCTACATCTATTTCAGACACCCTACACTAGCATTCAGCCGTGTGACGCCAGATTACAATACACACATCACCACCGCAACTCTTCGCGCGGGTACCCTCACCGACTGCCAGAGAGAGAGAGAGCCAGCAGCGATCTCTGATAAACCTGAACCTTTTAAACTGAGATCTCCACCCCCCAAGTGGAGATTGTAACGAACAGTGGATTGAAGATGATGTTTCTTTTATAGGTTAAGCAGACTGATGGTAAGCAATCACCACCAAAAGAGTTACAAGTGATAGGGATAAGGGGATTGGAGATTTGGGGATTGGGGTTAGTGGGGGAGGAGATGACAACGCAACGGCTGCCCGCCTCGTGTCGTGGGACAGTATCCTGGATGCTTCGTATAGATTGTATTTTAGCAATTCGGGATTGAATCAGCTCGCCGCAGCCGGCGGACTGGGCAAGTTTCCACACGAGTCCGCTGCTCTCGTAGCTATCACTGAAGTTATCTGAAAAGGAATATTTGAATAGTTAATGTTAGGTAATAGAGAAATAAAATGATTAGCAATAGTGAGTGCAGACCTTGCGTACGGCGGCGTGCGTGGTATCAGGGGGCAGTTTGAGCGCGCGCAGGAGCGCGGCCAGGTGCGCGGGGGGCTCCCCGGCCACCAGGGTGCACTGCACCAGCCGGCCGCCCATCTCGCGGGGGCGGTACTACGTTACAGTACAGGATGCACTCACTATTTGGGAAAGGGACACACATTTCTGTCTTACTGGACTCTATTTATTTCTTATACAATGGCCTACTGTCTATCGGGACCGTTGTTTACATTCAATAT